AGGTCTCCCCCAGGGAGGAGCGAGAGTCTCGCCCCAATTCACTGGAGAGGGCCTCGTCCAAGGAGCGGCATCGCGCCGCTCCTTTAACAGCTGAGGGGCGGGGACGGATGGAGTTGGGCGACGCTCAGCTAGGCACCTCCACTGCTGCTCCTTTGAGTGAGGGCGGTCGTGGCCAAGGAGTTTGGCCCCGTGCCTCGACATTGCCCAGACCAATACAACAAGCCTCGTCTCAAGAGATGGAGGCGAGGGACGAGGCCAGCGAGGCTTCCGCTCTTTCGTCCGACCAGGACGACATGGAGTGGGAGACAATTAAATCTAAGGAAAAAACAAAAAAGCCAGTGATTCCACCAAAGTAGTTTTTTTGTGGGAACTACATTCCTGGATTGGATTAATTGACTGTGTTCCGTGTACCTTCATCTACTTCTGATATTAATGCCTCCTCTTCTCCTTCAATGGAATTGTCGAGGCTTACTTGCAAATTATGATGATGTTACTGACCTGCTAGAGGAACACAGTCCTATCGCCTTCTGTTTGCAAGAGACTCACCTGAAGGAAAGTCACTCGAATATCCTGAAGCATTTCCAGCTGTTTCGCAAGGATCGTCAACATTTGAGCCATTCGTCTGGAGGTTCTGCTGTTATGCTACAACGCTCAGTCCCTTGCACTGAGGTTTTCTTAAACGCATCACTAGAGGCTGCTGCTGCTCGTATACTGATTGACCATTTAATAACCATTTGTTCTGTATACATACGTCCAAATTATCACCTAGAGTATAAAGAGCTTGAAGCTTTTTGTGATCAGCTACCTCCTCCTTTTGTGCTCGTAGGCGATTTTAATGCTCATAACCCTCTGTGGGGAAGTGCACGAAGGGATACACGAGGAACACTTATTGAATGTTTTCTGCTTTCAACAGGATTGTGTTTGCTCAACTCTAAAGAGGCTACACACTTTTCCACAGCAACATATACATTCACATCAGTCGACCTTTCACTTGTGCATCCGACATTACTTCCACTGTTGTCATGGAAAGTCATTCCTAATCCCTACGGCAGAGATCATTTTCCCATTACTATTTTAGATTTCCAGAATCATCCTGTCACACTTCCAACACGGTCACCTAAATGGAGGTTTGACAAAGCCAACTGGACACTTTTTAAGCAGTCATCTCTTTTAGCTATTACATCCCTTCATCAGCTTTCTGTCGATGAGGCAACAGGTCACGTCACAAAACACATACTAGAGGCTGCTATGCTTGCAATACCAATGACGTCCACTCACCTCCCCAAACGGCCTAATTTGTGGTGGAATCAGGACTGCAAAGAGGCCAAGAAGAAAGAGAATAAAGCATGGGTCATATTTAGGCGATATCCTACGCCAAGTAACCTTATTTCATTCAAGAAAATGAAAGCGCGTGCACGATTTGTCCGCATGCAGTCAAAGAGAAATTGTTGGGAGAGGTATGCATCTTCTGTAAACAGTCAGGCAACGCCAAAGGAGGTTTGGGATCGAGTTCATAAAATTAACGGCTCGTATCATGCTTTTTCTGTTCCTCTTTTGACAAAAAACGGAATATGCCCTGAAAGCCTCGAGGAACAGGCAGATATCCTTGGAGAGCATTTCGAGTTTGTTTCTAGCTCAAGAAACTACACACCTACATTTCTTAGACACAAAGCACAGATGGAAAAGAAAGCTGTGAACATTTCGGGTGGTTTTCAAGATCCCTACGATGTCCCATTTACATTGTGTGAACTTGAAATGGTTCTCCACTGTACTAAACAGACTGCACCTGGTCCATATTGGAATTCATTACATTATGCTCCAACATCTTCATCCTTCAACTCTTCAGCTTATCCTATGCCTTTTTAATAAAATCTGGTCTGAAAGCCATTTTCCGCTCGCTTGGAAGGTCGCCTTCGTGGTTCCCTTGCTGAAGCCAGGAAAGAATCCTTCATGTGCATCTAGCTACAGGCCTATAGCTTTGACAAGTTGTTTATCAAAGACTCTTGAAAGAGTGATTAACAGAAGGCTTGTGCATTTTCTTGAAAATAACATTCTAGACAGATACCAGTGCGGCTTTCGATCTTCCCGATCGACAGTAGATCACTTGGTTTGTTTCGAGACAGCCGTGAGAGAGGCGTTTGTGAACAAACAGCACTGTCTTTCCGTCTTTTTTGATCTGGAGAAGACGTATGATACTGCCTGGCGATTTGGAATACTGCAAGACCTAATCGACATTGGTATCCGTGGGCACATGCTCGGCGCAGTTAAAAGTTATCTAGAGTTTCGTTCATTTCGTGTAAAGCTGGGTACCACCTTCTCTCGAGATTTCTTGCAGGAGAATGGGATTCCCCAGGGTGGTGTACTTAGCATCACTCTTTTTATTATAAAAATGAACTCCATTGCCCGTGTAATACCTCATTCAGTTCAGTATTCTTTCTACGTTGATGACCTCCAGGTTTCAGTATCATCATCAATCTTTCAATCTGTGAGAGGAGGGTTCAAGTGGTAATCAATAATTTGACAAGCTGGGCTAACACAAATGGTTTTAAGTTTTCTACAGAAAATACTGTCTGTGTGTGCTTTTCTCGTCATCCAGGATTTTTTCAAGAACCCTCTTTAACCATCTATGGACTTCCTATCATGGTGAAAAGTGAGCACAAGTTTCTAGGTCTTCTTTTAGATTCAAAGTTAACGTTTGTTCCACGCATTAAGCAATTAAAGTCAAAATGCATCAAATCACTGAGCATTCTCAAAGTGTTGTCCCATCAATCTTGGGGTTCTGATCAACTCTGTCTCCTGCGCATTTATTGTGCAGTAATTCGCTCCCGACTCGATTATGGCAGTTTTGTTTATGGTTCAGCCAAAGCTTCAGCATTGAAGATGTTGGACCCCATTCATAATCAGGGGCTACGGCTAGCCACCGGTGCTTTCCGCACTTCTCCGATTGCCAGCCTCTATGTTGAGGCCAATGAATATTCTCTGGAGAAAAGACGTTTCGCTTTGGGGTTTATGTATTCACTCCTAGTAAGATCAGTCCCTCTCCATCCAGCTCTTGAATCTGTTGAAAAAATCAAGCTTGAGAGGACTTTTCAAAATAAGCCAAGTATCATCCTTCCTTTTGCACTGAGGCATGCTAAGGCAGCAGAGCACTATGACCTTGACCCAAAGCCCCCTGTGACAAAGCACATAAGCTCTGCAGCTCCGTGGGAATATTCGTTCATTCACTGTAACTTCGCTTTGACAAAACACAGAAAGAAAGATACTCTGGATGAAGTGCTGAGGCAAGAATTTTCTGAAATACAAAACCAGTTCCAACATCACTTCAGCATTTACACATATGGCACTAGAACAGATTCTTTTGTTGGTTGTGCAATGGTTGGACCATCTATTCGCCATGTAAAGAAACTTAGCCCTTCTGCCACAATTTTAACAGCAGAGTTGCAGGATTTGTTGCTTGCTGTGGAGTATACACTTAAGAAAAGGCTTCGTCGCTCTGTAGTGTACGCGGACTCTTTAAGTGCTTTAAAAGCCCTTGTTTCACTAAATTTAGTCAAAAATTCTTTGGTTGCTCAGCTGCAAGATAAGATAATATCAGCCACCAAAACTAGGTACGAAATTATTTTCTGCTGAGTGCCAAGTCACGTTGGCATCCCGGGTAACGAGGAGGCAGATCAGGCTGCTCGCTCTGCCGTCGCACACTTTGTAGACACAAGAGAAATCCCCCCAAAAGATTACTGTAAGAAGGTGAAACATTTGATAATGCAGAAATGGCAACGTGAATGGGACCGCGAAGTAAACAACAAGTTACATGCGGTGAAGCACTTACTGAAGGAATGGGAGAGTGCCCGGCACCGTGAACGATTCTACGAGGTGGTACTCTGTCGTCTAAGGATTGGCCGTACACGGCTCACACATGGGCACCTTTTGCGGAGTGAGGATGCCCCACAGTGCGAACATTGCCATTGCACTTTGACTATACTTCATATTCTAGTTGAATGCAATGCGTATGGCCTAGAACGCCGTAACCACTTTTCACAGCTTTACAAAGAGCATACTCCCCTACATCTGATGATTTTACTTGGCGATGAACCCCTCATACCACACTTTTGTGTTTCTGACTTTCTCAAAGCAATTGGCCTTGTACACCGACTGTGATTTTACTGTTTTGAACTCATGTCCATACCTTTTACACTTATACACAGGTCATGTTTATTGTTTTATCCTATCATCTGCTACTAAAGCTCTTTCTTCTCTTTAACCCTCTCCCAGCAATAGTTTATGTACTTGGCACATTATAGCCTTAGATGCTTTTGCGCCGCTAAAACCCAATCAATCAATCAATCAATCAAGGACAACCAACAACAGATGGTAGAGAAGCTTTTGGGTGTACTTCACGACCCAAGAGATTTACTAATCTTTTCCTTCTTTTTTAATGTTTTTGGACTCCTTTTAGACGGCTTGTGTCTTTCCCAGTTTGTTCCCAAAGTTGCCGTCCACAATCCGGACTGTGGGTTACTCTATTAACAAGGCAGAATTGTGCGGGGAAGGATCGGTTCCCAGAAATTTTCTCTTTGTAGTGGGGTATCCATATGGACGGGGTCCATATTGCCGCCCATGTGGCAGAGTTGCCAGCGCATGTGGCTCTCACGGGGAGGAACGGTGTCCAAACCCTGCTGGCCCATTTTTTGCATTTTACCAATTGCTGATATTCTGGAAAGTTGCAGTTTATTCTGGGCTGTAATCTTGTTTTTTTGTTTAAAACCTTCCTGAATGTGCCGTCTGTATAAAAACAGCAGTAACACACTGCTTCGAGTCAGTCAATCTCCCGTACCCGATGCAGGACACGCAGCACCATTTTCGTTTAGCGTTTACCTTTAGCATCCACGTGAGTTTACAATTCTGTTTGTGACAAGAAGGATACATGACTGTGCTCGTTCCTGCCAGCTGTGTGGGGTCCCTCGCCTTCTGCTAGTTTGTCTCACGGTTACCTTGCTTCTCAGTTCAGGGCCAGCCAGCCAGTCGCCCTTGGTGTCCCCCCGCAGCACCGGGTCTGCCGTGTGGGGTGCCTGACGAGATGGCAGAGCAGTATGTGAGGGACCAGCGGCGCCTGGTGGAGCTCTTGGAGACTGGGTTTGCTGCCTCGGAGCAGGTACTGGACTGAATTCTTTTGAAAGTGCCACATTGTTTTAAGAGCAGCATCAGCGTATCAGTTGCTACTTGTACTTCTCTCAAATACTTCACCGACAGTTTTTTAGTACCTTGGCAATTAAGGCCGAGAGAAGCCACACCCCAGTGTTTATGGTGTATCTGAGCCGAATGAACAGTACACACTGGCTTCCAAAAGAAAAGTGCTATAAATACACCAAAGCCTTTGAGACAAAGCAATTTCAGTGTTCAAATTCGGCACAGAGATAAGTAAGATTTACCATATTTGCACAATCCTAATCCACACTTTTTCTTTTTCTCGAGAAAATATGTTTTTAAAATTATACATGCATGTTGCAATTAAGCCTATAAACTGAAATTAAGAAGACAATAAAAGTAGAAAATACTGCAGAAGACGGTTAGTCTCATTGCCACGAACTTGGTGTGCTTCCGCTCACACAGTCGCACGTTTTTCCCATTTTGGCATTTGCCTTTCTGATATCCAACTCATTTGCACGTCGAATTTGTTCGTATGGATTCGTTACATCTGTACTCGTTTTCGCCTCAAAAACAAAAAGGAAATTTCACGCATTGTACATATGCCACACAAAGTAGTTCTCACGAGATTTGGTTGTCGGAGAAAAAAGCGATGCTTCTGGCGTTTGAAACGTGTACGTCTTGATAAGATAGCACATATTTAATCTAAAAGGCACCTACATACATTTTAATTCTCCACAAAAAGGGGGAGATCAGTAATGCTCCACAAGGAGCCGGAAACTTTTTACTACGAATCTTGAGGCGAAAATGAGTGTAGTTTAACTTTAGCCGCAGTTTCAGAATGGAGAAGCGGAAGAGCTATCACTATGAAACTTCATTTAAACAAAAATTATTGTAGGCTGGCAGAAAAAAAAGGCGATCAAGCCGTGTCCTTTCCCTCATGGCTACCAGAGCCGTGCATGCATGATGGGAGAAGACAAAGGGACCCAATTTTCACTCGTAAATCTACAATAAGTGCTTCAGCGGCTTTCAGTGGTTGGCATATTCCGTAGTTAAAGAGCTTGCTTGCGGATGAAGTGCAGTTCAAACCGGCGGATATTTCAGATGTGCACCGGAACACGTATGCATTCCCGCTTCTGGTCCCGATGTCACCGCTCCGTTTTTTCGTGTTGTGGCTCACGTATTTAGAGTTTAAATATCTCAACTTTTCTGGGTCAGTGTATCGTGATGTAGGTGCCCGTAATGAAAGACACAAACGAACGCTACCTCCGATGCCGGCAACAGCAAATGTCATTAAACATTAGTAAGTGTACTTTAGCTTCCTTTCATCGGCGCTCTAACCCACTAGCCTACAACTATTCTATCAATGAGACCATAATTCCATCAGAACTAAGTTATAAATACCTAGGTGTGCACTTCTCTAGTAACCTATCTTGGGCACTACATGTGAACCATGTCATCTCTGATCTAACTGATCATTTGGACAAAAAACGTCACCTCAAATTCGCACCATTAAACTTAAGACTTGCCGCCTATAAAGCACTGATTTGCCCAAAGTTAGAGTATGTTGCCGCTATATGGGACCCATTCCAAAATTACCTCAGTTATCAATTAGAAGCAATTCAAAATTGTGCAATCAGGTTCATGTTTTCTAACTATTCATATGAAATAAGTGTCACCGGCCTGAAGGAACGTGCTGAACTAGATAACCTATCACTGTGCCGAAAATATTTTACACAAACACTCTTTTTCAAATTCTATTATGATTTCCAGCCAAATTCACCGTACATCATGCCATCAGGGCCGGTTCTCGAAGCGATGGTAAACCCATTTTGGTAAACCACGGTGCCTAGGAAGGAAAAAGTGCCTAGGCACTGTAATAAATGGCTGGATATAGAACAACAATATTTATTTTTGAATGGGCAATAAGATGTGCCATCTATCGGTGAAACAAGCCAGTCATTTTGTTTATCCTCTTTCTCCGCTGGTTGTCATCGATCTAGTATGGTATTTTAAGTCAAAATATAGTACTGTTGTACTTGAAGACCAATTTATTTGCTTCCGATGGTACGAAGAAATTTTAGCAACTATGCTACAGTTTGCCGACGAATATTCGAAAATGTAAGAAACATTTCCTTCAATGTGTTTCGCCATGAACAACGCATAACTTTCCCTTGTTCCTCCCAGTCTGGCAACGCCGGTGCTGTAGTCTCGTTTTTGTTCTTTGCAAAACACGTTTCTGCGATTCCTGCTGATCTCAACTGTTTGCCCTCTCTTCCGTTTGCCCAACCGATCCACCGGTGACGAGAAGCTAAGCTTCTCGTCACCGTTGAATTGCTGGCCACCGGGGATATGTAGAAACCTCAATGCTGTCGGCATACTGTCGGCGCACCGTGAACAAAAAAAACAGTACAATGTCTCAGCTGTTCACCCGGAACGAAGACTTTATTGAGGATAACCCCCTTTCTCTGCAAAGTAATCACTGCTCACAAGTTGGCGTGCATAGTGTAACAAACTGAACGTGTTAGTATAAATATATACCAACATTCGTTCGCAAAACATTTTTTTACTCACCATAAAAACACTTGCAAGGCTTATGTACCATCATATGTCTTGGATCCCGGACTGCTGAAGAGTGATGCGTTCGCGGAATGTTGCTGTCGGTTAGTTTAGTAGTCCCTCTGAACTATCGCTTTGCTTGACGTGCTAATAGGTTGATGGCGCGTCATTAATATAACAGCCGGATCGAAATGAATGTTCAGCAGAACCAAGCAGAACTATTAGCCCTCATTAAGCGACGCCGCGGCCATTTTGCTTCTAGGTACTGCTCCTCCCTCGGCGCCCCTGCTCTCCCAGTCACGTGACCTAGAATTCCCCCTTCTAGGGACAATAGTTAACTTTAAACCACGGTTCGCGTTCAAGAAAACGGGCCCTGGTCGAACTCCTTATTGTACCGGTCATCCACTCAACGTGATGCACACCAAAACTAGAACAGTGACCTTCTTTTTCCTGCTTCACTTTTCCCACGCTCAGCGAAGAAAATGGAATCATCTTCCCCACAGCATCGTTTCCATGTCTTATCCTCTTCATTTCAGAGAAATTGAGCAAGGTCATTCTCACCGCTGCCTCATAGTTGAAAAAGAGAAGGGAAAGAAAACAAAAGTGCCTTTGCAATGTTTTGTTTTTGACTGATTTCAGTTTAACCATGTATACTTTCTCGTGTCATTTTATTCCTATTATTTTCGTTTTCTTTATTAATTTTACAAATACGAGTGTTAAAACCTTCTGTAATACCCTTCCTTAGGGGTCTTGAAGGTGAACTGAAATAAAGAAATAAATAAACGCCGGTGTCACCGTCGCCGAGCGCAGGGTGGGCCAGGTGTATTGCTGCTGGCTTCTCGTCTCCACGTTTGGTCGAGCGTGTAGACGAATTGCCCGTTGGGGAACGCAGGAAGGTTTATCGACGCCGCATTTTTGTCAAGTTGCGTCGCAAACTAGCGGTGGTGCGAGTTTTCCTTGTGGTGGTTTCTGTGGGGCAGCGTGAACATACTGTGCTCACAAATGCTTAAGCGATGCCACCACCGTGCTGCATCGCCGGACTCTGTCGACTCGTCTGAAGGCGTTGTTAAATGTAAGATGCTTACTAAATTGACACCTTTGAAGCAATATCTATTTATCCGTGAAACGTGGTGTATGTGCCTATTCTCTTAGTTTGCAATTGATCGCACGGTAAATCGGGTAAGCAACGACTGCCTCGTCCTACCATCGTTGCACATCGGGGCTACGTGGGACAAAGTTACAATCCTGCCTTGCTGTCGCCCTCTTCGTTTTGCCGACACAAAGTAGAGACTTTTTCGTCCCTCTTCTCTGTTTCGTGCGAAGTAGTGAAGGTACTTTTGCCGCCTCACAACGATGTCATTCTGCTCTATCGTCACCGAGCTTTGCGCCTGGCACCGATCGATGCTACTGATGTCGCCATGTCTTGGAGCAGACGATGCAATATTTTCTCCAGAGTGTAGGCACCTGTAGTGGCCGCATTACACCCGTGGCTGCGATGTACCTCCGCCAGCATCCGTTGTGCTACGCATCCTCTCTCTCCTTCATCCGTATTCTAAATACACTCATGTTTTATGGATGGCCGTCCATACTAAAACGTAAAATTTTGCTCCGTATACTTGCACCAAAACTCATATTTTTTACTCGTTCCGGCACATGTATTTCAAATACACGTCGGTTTGGACTGCGCTTTATATGAAGAAGCTGCAGCTCAATCCGTCTGCCTGCTTCCTCCGACGTTGTGAAGTCAAAGCCCACCAGCTGACTAAATGCTTCAAGATCCCCCAGAACAGATCTTCACTCGGGCGAAGGATGAACATCTGCCAAAAGCTCCCGGAAGCATGCGAAGAAAAGCTGGTGGTGTTCTGGCAATTCATGATAAAACTCTGCCGTTTGAACGACTATATTGTTGGATGGTAAGCAGTGTAAGCACTTTGGTGCCGTTTGCACCAGGGTGCTTGCTTTGTCACATTTTTCCGAAATGTGAGGAATTGGTGCCAACATTGCACCAAAAATTAATTTTGCTTTTACAATACAGTCATGTCCCGTTAATATGGATGCTTCTATAGCCCCCAAAATTCGTCCATAATGTGAGTTTTCCAGAATTACAAGACATAAGTGGATGTATTTACCCAGTTTGTCCCCGAAAAAGTTTTTTTGCAAAGCGGGGTTTATAATCATGATACATGACTGTACTCAAACTAGTAGATGAGGCCCTGCCACACTGCCGGATTATTACAGTAGGCTTGTGCGAATTTTCGAAAGTACTTGGAAAATCCACCACACTTCTGATTATTCACGATTTGTTTGAGCGGGTAGGTTAACTTCGCCGAGTGTTCTTCTCACCGTGCACTGGTGCACTATGAAGAAGCAACATCCATGAAATAGACATAGACATTGCCATTTTGCATCTCTTTTTATGGCAGTGCAGTTATGTGCTAAAACCAACTGCCCCTGCAAGTGGTACAGTACATATGCATCTGTAAAATACTTAAGAAAAAAAATGAAATCTGGGAAATGTGGATATGACAAAGCAGCCTTGCAATAAAAATTAGCATATATTTAAAAAGCAGCTGGTCCATTGGAGCTTGTTAAACGAAAAAGATTACTTTTGTCATAACATCATTGTTGCCATGTCATCTCATGGGGGTTTCATCCTTCCAGGTCATGGAAGGGCTGCACAGCGACCTGAGGCAGCAGACCATGGCCATCAGGGAGCTGTCCACGGGCCTACTTCAGATGCTGCGGGTTTTGGCCGCCTCCGCCACACAGCAGCACGGCTCGTCTGCACGATTCAGGCCCTCCACCCCACCTCCAGATTGAGTGACCCAGGCCGGTTTACATATGCAGCATTGACTGCTGTCAGCACTAACTCAACACTGAGTTAGTGCTGCATTTCCTGTGAGCAGGAAAAAGCCAGGTCTCGTGCATCAGAGTGCCGATACATCACTAATGTCATACAAGGTCACCGCTGCGCTTTCCATGTGAACAGGCCTTAAAGGCTCTTGTGGTTTTAAAGCGGCAGCCTTATAAGGCCAACCAACCTCCGGAACCACGTAAGCACGAAATGTGTAGGTCGGTGAGTCCTTAACTAACTGCTAATCGATCTTGAAAAGACAGCAATCACTGCCAGGTATTGAACCTTGGGTCAGCGGCGTGGAAGCTGAGTGCTCTGCTAAAAAGGAACAGGAGGAGGAAGAGCAGGTGGTGTGAGAAAGCCCACAGAGCGGAGAGGAGTAGAAAGGGCAAGAAACAAAGGAGCATATAGAGACGGTGTAGAAAGAGCGCACAGAACAAGGAGTGGGAAGGGCAGGAAAGCGCGCTTCCCCTTTCTTGGTGACCCAGAAAATTCAATGCAAAGGCTTTGTATGCGGGTGGTACTGAAGGGAAGTGCACGCAGCGTCACAAAGAGACAGTGGTGCAATGTAATCTTCTTCTATACAGATCCCCGCCCTAGGCACCGCCTTAACTAGGAGCATTGCCCTCCCCAGGCACTGAAAATACAAGGGTCATCCTGCCCTGGCACCACCCGAACTGAGAGCAACACCCACCCCCTAAAGCTACCGCCTTTGAACGCATTCGGCAAAATGACCAAACATGCAAACAATTTTTCCGAGCTACCCAAACTAACTACATTTCTGGAACCCCAGTTTTGCTCTTCTTGGTGCGCTATTTATGATATTTGAATTCAGAATTGGTATAGAGATAATGGCAAAGGAAAGTGATGCCAAAACCAGCATTCCAATTTCCTCGCGCTTTCCACTGGAGTGACGTCGCATCTTCTAAAGCTTGCAGGTCAAGAAAGCAGTCTGAAATACACAGTGTGTCACACAGTGTGTCACACAGTTTTTTTTTTGTTCTGCTTGAGCAATCTTCCAGAGCATTTGTTTCACAGCATCATACTTGTAACCTGTCAAAACGGGTTGTACTGCTTAAATTACATCTGCCGTGACATTTTCAGTGTTGCCAATAGAGACTTTCAGTTCGAGAAAAAAAACAAAAAAAAAAAACAATGAGAACCAAATTTGAGAATTCGATGACTTCGCAGAAAAATATAATTTGACCTATAATTAGGGTTACCAGTTCAGCTGTGTCAGTTGATGTGTTGAAACAATTTTGAGGCAAATCAGTGGCCATCGAAGTTTTGCCAGAGCTTCCTTGTGGCACTCCATAGATTTTTTGTTTAAATTTTAGCATAAAAATTAAAAAAAAAAAAAAAAAAACTTAGCTTTTTTTTTTAATTTTTATGCTTTGCTCTTTCCTTCTTGCTTCTTAATATCTTCATATTCAGAGTAGCTGTTGAAAAATCTGTAGGCAAATGCGGCGGAAATGTCGATATTCAAATTTCCTCACACTTTCCGGTGGCAACACATCAGTGCCAGGCAGGCTTGAAGGTCGAGCAGGCACTTTAAACGGTCTGTGAAATTCGGTTTCTTGGCGATTTGTGCTGTGACTTGCGGCAGGGGTGCAGCTAGGCAGTGGAAGCTTGGAGTAAAAATATTAACGAATGAACTTGTCTCATTAGAAAAAAATAAGAGAAGAACCTGTTTTGAGCAGTCTATGATTGCATCTGCAGACGGTGCCATAACAGTGCTTGCCAACTAGTAAGTGTTGCGGAAAGATGGCACTATCTGAGGTATGAGAGGATGTGGAACCTCGTTCGATCATCTCTGCACGAGAAATTAGGGGCTCTGAGTGAAATACCTCTCTTCGTATTTAGTTTCTTCAAAAGAAAGTTCCCTCACTTTTCAAATCGTACATTACGGAGATGCACGCCACATTGAGAGAGCTTAGTCAATTGGGGTGTGTGTATGTTTATACAGCCTGAACTTAGTCTGCCTCAACGGACGACTTGTCTCTCAAATTAGTCTGTGCAGTACAACCGCTAGCCTGGGGTCTTTAACGTGCATCACGCAGTAGTGATACACAACCGCACGCCGGTACGATGAGGGCGTAGTCAAAACTTTCGGAAGACTGTCTGCCAAGTTTAATGCCGAGGCATCATCGACACTTTCGACATCTGTCAACAGCATTGCACAGACGGTATGCATTGTCTGCAAGTGCTGCCATAAATTGCTCAAAACTAGGGGTGTGCAAATATTCAAAACCTTGAATACTTTGCGAATAATGCTTGGTATTCGATTCGATTTGCTTCACACTTTTGCTGTTAGAAGTATTCGAGTTCTTCGAATACTTCGAAAAATACAAATAACGCGGAACACGCTGATTAGTGTCAACCCGTTGTCGAGTTTCCTCTTTTGTTTTTGGACTGCGCAGTATGGTTTCGAGTATAGCAAACCCCAAAAAAACCGACCTAAGTTCCTTTTTCTTTTGTATGAAGCACTGGAAAGTCATCTGCACGCTGTAGCGTGATCTGTCCTTTGCTTGCCATGATATCTGGATTGCGGAGTTGGCGAAGTGGTCGTGGCGCAAACGATGCGATAGATATGATGAAGGACTACGATTTGCAATGGCACGGGCATCGTCGTGAGCACGAATGTGACGGACCACACTTACTACAGTCCTTCCTACAGTCAACAGTAGCCAATGTGCTATGGATTCGGATATGGATTTACGGCTGACCTCGGCTATCGGCAATATCTGGCTCGTCTTACGATCCGCTTGATTTTCCGTTTCCTCAGTTTGCCAGTTTTCCTTTTGTTATTTATTTCTACTCGTTTTCACTGGTAAAAGTGACAGACTGTCTTACTCCACCAAGTAAAAGCCATATTCTTAATTTATTGTTTCTTTGTGGCGCCCTCTCTCGGCAGAACTATTGCATACGGAAAGAGATTGCGCAAAGTATGTGTGGCTGCGCGGCGCAGTTGCACTATCTCCTACTCTATTGTGGCCTTTTGACCTGCCACTGCTTGTGTACTTCTGTTTACGTTCACATGGTAGCGTTCACACGCATAAAAAGAGATTGCACATAGTCAATGCAGCTGCGTGACGTGATCTTCGACTTAGTATTGTGGCCTGCCCACTTGCCAAATCTTGTGTACTTTTGTTTACGTTCACGTGGTTGCGTTCACCTGCGATGCGATCTCCGACTGCGTTGTGGTTTGCCGACCCGCCTCCATTGTGTACTTCCATTTACATTCTGTAACTTCACTCCTTCAATGGTGTTTTACTGACTGATCTTTTCTTTCATCCATTTTTTTTCAGTCACATGTGTGACATTTTTCTTATTGCAATAAAAGTAACCTTTTCATATATGTTTGTCGAAAAAAAAAATTCCAGTTGTGTTTTGATTGGGCATTCTTGTTTAATTCACATCAGACAGAAAACATTTGTTTTAAAAAATGTTCTCATTTGAAACTACTACATTCGAATCTCATTATTCGAACTCGAGGGGGACCGAAAATTTGTTTGAATTAAACAGAGTTTGAATTAAAGAAAGCTCATTAAATGAAGTGCTTATGTGCAGCGCTGTGTTTGGCGGCACATGTGCACTGGGCTAACACATTAGTGGCGAGTTCCTGGACATTTATTTACACCGATCGCCAACGGAAGTAATCCGTGATGCATGCCTATGCGTGGTTCCTCAGTCGTGAATCAACAAACATCGCTTGGAGCTTGGGGACTAGCTCTAACGCGGCATCAGCATTCTTTTGGCACGAGAAGTAGTGCGTGGTTGTGTCCAGCGCTGACGTTACGTCAGTTGCACTGGGGGGGGGGGTGCATTTCTTCGCTGACATCAGAATCTTCGCCACATAGGGCTGAAGGGTCTTCAGATGTGGCCTGTTGAAGCCACGTAGCCTGAATGATCTCGGTGTCAGTTATCCATGACGCTTGGAATCCAGATAACGTCAGTCGCACGCCCACCGAAAACATTCTGAAGCTCAGCAACGGACAAGTGCAAGGCAAGGAACGTAACTGTCGCGCTCCCACTGAAAACATGCCGAAGCGCAGCAACGCGCGAGTGCAAGGCAAGAAACGTAACTGTCCGTGCCCACCTAAAACAGGCCGAACTGCAACACAGTCGCCGTACGAAAGGCAACAGCCGCTGCCACCACCGCACTGCTCATCGCAGCATTCAAAGTCGCAGGTCACTATGTCATCGGTTGTCATGGTTACTTGGAGCTGAAGTCAAGAAGCGCTGCCGCATGAGTTAGCCCGCTCCTGAGAGCATGGTGGGCAGCACAGGATGTTAGAATTAACCGGCGGCGAACGCTTAAGCGTTTGAATTACCGGGCGTTTTCGCACATTGAAATACATATAGTGTGGACCGGACCATGGCATCAGTTTGAATAAACCGAAAGTTTGAATTAAGCGTGTTCGAATTAACGAGATTCGACTGTTTTCATATTTGAAAATATTCAATTCAATTTGTAAACTTTATTATTCAATTCGATTTGCTTCAAAAGATTTTGATATTCACACACCTCTACTCAAAACAAATTTTTGTTAATTTTTTTAATGAGGGTTATTTTTATTTGTTGCATTGGTATCTGCTCCAAGAATTTTCAAGTCCACTGAGAACACTTGTCAATCCGATACCTTCCGGATAAGTTGTCCCATGGTACAAGTGCAGTGTCCATTCACAAAATATGTGCATCTGCAAAAGCATGGCTTTTTGAACTCATGCCGCCGTTTTGTTTACACGTGATGTGGACTTTCCGTTGACCTTTCGCCGTCACTATCTCTGTACGAGATATGGAATGTAAATTCCAGATGTACTATATGTAAAAAAATGTGAAGATATTTTCTAAAATCAATGATTGTACAAATAAAGGTTTATTTTACATGCGAGGTCATTTTATTTGTGTTCTGCCACGCATGCTGTTGGTTTACGTGGAGTTCCTGTAAACCCTAAAATATTTGCACAAGGCGCCCTTCAATTATGAGGGGGCTGCACGGACTTTTTGGGCTGAAGCTAGTGCCGCATAATCCGGCGTCGGAGCTAAGGACATTGGAAACACATAAACAAAGTACCCTTTAATTTTGACATAGCCAACAGCACAGGTGCCTGGATCTGCACTCCCAACAATGTGAGAAAAGTGACAAGAAAACGTCCTCTTTATTCATACAGAAAGTAATACAGTCAAACACCTTCATAACGTACAGCTGTACATAACCCGGAAATTCACGTTCAACGAAGTGGAACTATGTGCTGGTTCATTTCCCATGAGTTCAGTGTGTTACATATGATCGCCACAACAAATTCCTGGTTTAACGAATGGAATGTACAGCCCCACAAGGGCATAAATTTCTGCTCTTACGAGTTTTTGAGGTAAAAAGTAACAGACTAGGTCCAGGCACGTAGCCAGGAGCTTGTTTAGGGGGGGGGGGGGGGGGCCACGCCCATGACAAAATCCTGTATGAGGGGGAGGGGGGAGAGGGTGTCCCAGCAAAATGGAAGATTTTGGGGGGGGGGGCCCGGGCTTCATGCCCCCCCCCCCCCCCCGGCTACGTGTTTCTTAGGTACAGACGCATCGACACACTTGAATGATGTGCATGGCGTGGTATGCAGCAAATCTGTGGGGCACTGGCAGTTGTTACATGTAATTAATTATTTAGAAAGCAAACAAAGTTTTAGAAGTATTTTTTAAAGAATTTTCTTTTAATGTGAAACCATTAACTGTCCCATTGAGCGAACCGGCGTTATCAGCATTTGAAGCCACGCCAAACAGCACGTAAATACCCTTGTCCCATGGAGCGAAGCATGTAGTCTGTAGCAGGGAATTGATGGATAAACTCCCATTGGGCGCGTTCAGTAGCGGCCCCGGAGTCAAGGAGTCACTGACTCCTTCCACTGGACGGCCAAAAGTCACTTCCGGTGCACGTAACTCCGGGGCTTCGGTGTCAAGCTCCGAAGCACCGAGTCCGGAGACGGTGCACGTAGAGTCAAAGGAGCTAAAATGACGTCATTTCCTAACTGGTGACGATTTCCGGCGCTAAAAGAGGAAAAAAACAAACAATATGGCGGGATAAGCTGCTTCGGTTCTGTCGCGGGTGCGCGGTTTGCTCGCTTTTGTTAATGAAAAGTGCTAAAGTTAAAGGAGCTGTGCAACAATTTCAGGGCTTTGCTTAAATAATTGTGGAAGTTGATGCCTGACACTTCTGCAGTGAACTACAGAAAACAGATTTTGCCTGGATACCCTAGTTTTTACTTAAAAAAATGAAAAAGATCCAGGTTTTTGCCGCCTCTCAACTCGTGCATCGTCTTCCGGGTCACGTGCACAGTGACGTCACTAGAGTAGGCGCGGAGTTTCGGAAAAGTTCTCTCTTTAGAGCCATCAGCGAGCAGCGAGAACTCATCCGCTCGCGACCGCGTGACCACCCGTCCTTGCCCGTCCGGCGCTGTCCCCCTCCTCCTCCGGCTTCTGGCGGCTGTTCACGGTTTTGTAAACCTAGGATAGATGGCGCCACTAAAACTCCGTATAATAAAAGTTTTGTCGATGATACCAGGGTTTTGACGCATTTATATATATGTTGGAACGACAAGATTTATAAAAAAAAGTTACCTTTTATCGAGCAGGTATTCGCACAACTTGCTATCTTTCTTACAACGACCCAAGTGACGTCACGCCGCTTGTTTCTCATGGCCGCCGCTCGTGGCTGCAGGTCGGGAAGTATTCCAAGTTTTGCCTCGCTATTACGCGGTGGAATCGCAACATTGCGATGAAAGGAGGTGTGTTTTCTGCCATTTGTGACACAGTGAACAATATCAAAAGCAGAAAATGCCAATTCTTTCAACGTTAAAATCGTTGCACAGCTCCTTTAAGACGAGTAACGCGTTCGAATATCTTTTTCAGGTAAGGCTCTTTCGGAAAATGCATTGGACCGTATTTTGTTTGGTTTGAATATGCTAATAAACAACGTAAACGTTCATTTGACGCCGTGTCTTGATCGCCATTGCACGGAAACTCGGTGATTATCGACGATAGTCCTGTCCGCGCTGAACGAGCAAGGCAGGGTATGAACGCGACTTCGGTAGCTGGTCGGACACTCACGCAGAGCATGCTCCCGATTGATGTTGTGTTTGCGTAGCTAAATCGGGGTGCACGTTGGCTGACGCTCGCTTCGGCCGGCAAAACCTTGATCGCTGAGCGTATACGTGTGTATACGAATACATTTTATAGGAAGTTCGTTACGAAGGGCAGAACAAACGTATGGCCGTATAAAGGTATCGCAACCGGCGGGGTAGATTCGCCGAGTTCTGTATTTTCTGTGTCTGACGACGTTTTTTGTCGGCTTTTATAACAGTGCCTTTGCACCGCCAAGCGAAGGGCTCGATGGGCTCGATCGCGTTGCATCGCTTCGAACAGCAGCGCTGATGTGTACAATCACCCGCTTTTTCTTCAACGACCTCGTCAAGACTTCTTCAATACCGGCGTCAAATAAAAGCGATCGTGCTCGCCATCGTCTGCTTCCAGTTTATTCGGAGACCGTCTGGCACAGGGGAGGAAGCGGAAGTTGCGTAGAAGCAGGTTTGGAGCCGCGGGGTTTTTTGCCGTTCAGTAGGCGCTCCGATGACTCCGACTCGAGGCACTCCATTCGGAGGCAAGGGAGGCGCTACTGAACTGGCTGGCGCACGGAATAGTTCCAAGGAACGCCACCCCACAGAGAAGCCCTCTCCATGGCATAGCAGCCCAGCCGGCGGTAAGAGGGAGAGGGTGGCAGGGTTCTGCAGAGCAGCTGGCCGCAGAGCCCGCCCAAGCAGCCTACACAGGTCATACGGCCAGGCTCAGCGCGGCGCACAGCTTGTAGGAGTATGCTGCGTATACCAGTGCTTTCGCATTCCTACATGTTAGTAGTCTTAAGCGTCTTTCAGTTCTTTATTTCAGTTTATTGCAAGCATAAAATAAATTGCAAAAAACTTGGTTGAAAAATACAAACAAAGGGGTTCGGTCTTAGTTTCGAATTTAAACAAAAAACGAGCAAAATTATAACAATAGTAACTCTTAAAATTGAGAAGATATCTTTAGAGCACAGCTCTATACTCCGTTTCAAACATCGCGTGCAACGCTGGGAAAGCTACTGAAGTAGTGCGCATGAAAAAACACAAAAAAATGTGTTACTCCGCGAGATTTCGTGGACGAGCGGTATAAGGCGCAGCTCTGGCGATGCCGACGTCTCGGTGGCGGTGGTTCGAATCCACTTAGGGCGCAAAGGTTTTTTTTTTTTTTTTAATTTTTTTTCCTCGACCTATTTTTTGTGCAAGATTGTGCGTATTGCGGAAGTGCATATTTCAATTCCTTTTTTTTTTGTCGATTTTTATTGATAAGAAGGTAGGCTAGGGGCTGGTGTTCCGCTTGAACTTGCGCCGGCCTCATCAAAACGGAAGAACGGTCGAGATCCAGGGCGTCTCTATTTAAAGCCGTTTATTTACATGGTAGCGTGAAAATCAGAGAGTACCTTGAGAGTGTGGTGGACGGTCCTTTATATCACGAATACTGTGATTAGGGGACCGCACTGCCATTGGTCAGACGGCTTGGCATTCCCTCACGTGATGTGACTTCATGGAAGTTTCCTTCAGAATCGGAATACTCGCCGGTGTATGGAAGAAGTCATCCAGACGGCAGTATCTCGGTGCTCTGGTGCCGGCGCCCCCATGAACCGGGAGTGATTCACAATAGACGCGTACACAACACACGGCACTCGAGATCAGGATCGAATGTTGTTTCCTTTTCGAGGAAAGCAGGGGCCTCGGAATACAGGCACGGGCATGTGCGTCGTTTACTTAGCCGACCAAGGTTAAGGTGCCTCAGGCAGACGGAGCCGACCAAGGTTACGGTCCCGCAGGCAGAAGAACCCAGACGCTTCGGAATGCAATCACGGGCACCGCCTGCTGTAAGGTCCCGCAAGCAGACGGAGCCGTAGGCACGATTCATCACCGACACAGTTCCTTCTTGAGGCTTGTTTCACTTTGAAGCCATAAGGCCGATTTCAACACCAGAAATAACAGGTGGCAGTTCACAACACTGTCCGCGTGCTCGGAACTTTCACGTTGCGAGGTCTTCGCTTCGGGGACGCCACCTTGCCAGACACTCCGGTGTCGTTACTGACCGTCTCCAGGACCTCACGGACCGACGTCTCCGGGAAACACGTTCTTGAACTCGCGTACACGTTGGCGATCACCTGTTTGCACTTTTGCGAGATCTTCACGCAACGAATCTTCGAAAATATCCGAGCAGGAAAAGAAAGCATTCCCGCGTAAGACGCCATCTTC